CCAAGACAATCACCAGCTGCCCAGATGAGTGTGTGCCAAGCTCTGCATGAAGGACTGTGCTGTGGGACACTAAGCCACCTGCTGACACTCCCTGATGCCCACCCTCCCACAGGTTCCCAAGGCAGGTGCACCCCACAGAAACAAGAACAAAAAAAAAGGAAAGGCAGCGTTTACGGAGCACAGACTCTAAGCCGGCACTACGCTAGTTTTTAGCTGCCCTCCTGTAAAACTCAGGAACACCACATGTAAGATTAAGTACAGGAAAACGCGGCTCCGACTGGAAATAACGTGAACCCAAGTGCTGCAGCCTGCGGGGCCAGCTACTCAGGGGACTGAGGGAGGAAGGTCAAGAGTTCAAGAGCAGCCTGGGCAATTCAGTGAGATCCTTCCTGGGGATGGCGCTGAGTGCACCCAGCACAGGCAAGGCTCTGAGTTCACTCCCAAAACTGCAAAATGACTTCTCTGAAGGAGAAAGAGTCTAGGCTAAGGAGACTCGGTCCAGCCCTCAGAAGGTCCAGCTTTTGTGACTGTCCCTCTTTTTCTCACACTGGCTTAAATCTGTAAATTTTTTTTTTCCTCAAAAAGACTTCTGGAGACGGGCACAATGGTGCATACCTGTCATCCCAGAGACTTGGGAGGCTGAGGAAGGAGGATCATGAGTTCAAGGCTAGCCTCAGCAAACAGCGAAGCCCTAAGCAACTCAGCAAGACCCTGTCTCTAAATAAGATACAATAGGGCTGGGGTGGGGTTCAATGGTTGAGGGCCCTCGAGTTCAATCCCTGGTACCAAAAGAAACAACTTCTAAAGTTTGGGCTTCTTTGGGAAAGTCCCTCGGTCTCCTACAGCAACACTTGCCTGGAGCTGAGCAGGGGAGAGCCCTTCAGACAGCCACGCCCCCGTGGGTGTGCTCACTGCCCGCCACTCCTGGCTGGGCCAGACTGCTTGCCTACTTAACAAGACACCTGTGGGCTTCTGCATCTGGGCCCGACTCAGAGTCATCAAGTGCATTTCATCAATCGCCTCCTCCCCCTTAACAGGAGATGGTGGGGACAAGAACAGCGATGTCAGGCTGCTTTGTAGCATCCTACTTTTGCTCATGAGCGCCAAGGGACAAAGAGCTGCCCCTTGCAGCTGGAGTAAAGCCACACCAGGACCCCAACAGCCATGGAGGCCAGGAGACTGTGGCAGCCCCCTCCCTCCCTATTGGGTCTGCCGTCCTCCCCCATGGTCTTCCCCCACATTCCCATCCCAGAGTTTCTCATGCACGTTCTCTGGCCTCTCCACTGTCCCTGCTGCTAGCACCTTCTCTTCCTCTGGGACTCCAATGAATACTACAGTCTCCCCAAGATTTCCCAGGCAGCCACGTTTATCAAACACAGCTCGACACCCAGCCTCACTTTCTGCCTAGGCACCTCCTAGTACACCCTCTCTCCTTCCCCCCGTACTGGGGATGAAGCCCAGCGGCCTTTACCACAGGACTCCATCCCCAGTTCTCTTCCTTTTTTATTTTGTGACATGGTCTTGTTAACTTGTTGAGAGTTGTGCTCAATTTCTGAAGCTGGCCTTGAACTTGCGATCCTCCTACCTCAGCCTCCTGAGTCACTAGGATCACAGGTCTGCACCAGTGAACCTGGCACATCTGCCATCTCTCCCCACTGTCATTGCCTGCGTATATCTGTTACTGCCCAACGGGCGCTACGTCCACTCAAGGGACACCCAGTCTCCAGCAGAGTACCCAGCCTATGGCCAGTGCAAAATGAACACCTGAAGACTGAGAGGATGCATGAGAGGACGGACAGGCAGCTACCACAGTGGCACTAGACACTCCACCCTCATCTCCCACCTTCGCTTACCTCTTCGGCTTCCTCTTCCGAGTCCACCACAGGGAAGTCCTGCAGGGACTGCGTGGTCCGCTCTGAGCCATAGGCCCCCACGGCTCCTTTCCCTTTCCTCTGTTTGGCTTCGATGGGGTTGATGATTCCTGCCAACCCAGCAAGAGATGAAAAGAGAGGCTTCAGATCAGATCAACCCGTGGACTGAACAAGCCACTTGAGTAGCACACAGTCCTGGCTCCTTACACAAAATTACACTGCCCTACAGGAGCTCTGTGGCCTGTCCTTGGAACACTGTCATGTCCTACATGGTTTCAAAGTTCTGAGCATTTATGCTGCTGACTGTTTGCTGACCTTGGGTTATTTATGTCCCAAACACAGATTTCCACTGCTACTCATGCTCACTGTGTTAGTGGACAAGAAAAGAACAAGTCCCCTGCAGCTGAGAACACAGGCGTGCGAAATCCGACACTCCACCCCTTGAAGTGCAGCTACCAGATGCAGCGCCTCCACCTGGGGGGTGCTGACTTCCACACGAGGTTCCTCGAACATGTGCCGGGAGCTCGCCCCGCCCTATCTGCATATTCACACCATGTTCAAGCCCTGCACATACACGTGACAGACGTTCACAACCAGGACTACAAGACGTTAGTGGTGATCCCCCCTGAAGTGCTGCTAAAGCTCAAGGTCACCCCTTCTCCGTCCCTCCCAGTCACCATCACCTTCTTTCCATTTCCTGTACTTCTCACACAGCTAATGTTTCCAACACAACCTGACTGACAACTACCATTTAAGACTGGAACTCCAACCACAGAGGACACTTCAGATTGCATCAGGTAGGTGACCATTCATAGGAAGCAGCTCAAAAAGGAAAAGTTCCTGCAGGAAGGGGCCTATTGCCTGATTTGTGTGGCTCTGACTCAAGAGGAGATGTGGGAGAGGGACAGTGACTCACCGGGGCTGGTGGGGGAGGACCCGAGGAGACCGTGTAGCAGAGTGAGGACAGACTCGCCCAAAGCCACAGCCACAGGTCCCAGCTGCTGCGAAGGCCACTTAGAGTCATACTGACACTCGTGGACCTTTTTCTGGGAGGGAGGCACTGGGGACTGAACCCAGGGGCGCTGTGCTAAGAGCCACATCCCAGCCCTTACTGAGGGCCTCGCTAGCTGGCTGTGGCTGGTCTCAAACCAGAGGCCTCTTGCCTCAGCCTCCCAGGTAGCAAGCGTGATGCCCCTAGACCCAGTTTTTGTTGTTGTTTTTATTATTTGTTTGTTTGTTTTTACCAAAACCCTCATGAGCAGGATCACAAACTTTCCCTGGGCCTTCAGGGCACAGGATGGTTCCCATAAAGAGCACAGTGTATAAGAGTGGGACACTGCATCTAGACGAAGGCCACACGCAGGCCGAGGGACCATATGATCCAGCTACACTCCTGCCAGGCACAATACAGAACTTTAGGTGAAACAGGCTGATGTCTAAATGTTGGCCACTGATCCATGGTTTAGAAACATAAGTCAGGACACAAGGAAGCCATGTCACATCACATCAGCCTGGTTCAGACCTTAGCACTTTCTCTCACTCTGTGTTCTTTTTTAACTGGGTTTTGAGACAGCAAGGGAGGCAAAGAGCACAACCATCCTACATCAGCAAACGAGGCCACAGAGTCAGAGTCCCCTTAAAAGGGAAAAGGCAAAGAGGAGCGAGCCCTGCCTCGAGCCCCCCCAGCCTGGCCTCCCCACAGGACTCCAGGGCGCTGCTGCCGTACCCTGTGCGTTCTTCCCAAGACCTCGCCCGGGGACGTAGCCCATCTTCTGAAGAAGCTTCTGCCCAATTCCCTTCGTGTGTCTTTCCCAGCTGCCAAAGTCCATGAAAGATTTGGTTCCTCCTGCAAAACCTTTCTGGCTGGGCTTAAAATTGCCACCCTGCAAAACAGAATAACCAAAGTTTAGTTGTGAGAAAAACCTGCAAAAGCCTGGCCCATGAGAAAATGGCCTGGTGGCTACAGAGCACCACGGAAAAAGAGCATCAGGAACCAAACGGACCAGTGACGCCCGTCAAGAAGGAAGAGACCCCACCGCGTGAGAGGGCCTGCTGAGCTTCCCTGCCAGGAAGCCTCTGGAGGACATTACTCAGGTGACAATCCTGCGATAAAGACTCTACCGTTTTTAACTTCTTTGGTCCAAAATCTTTAGGAAAGTCTTCTTGCTTAATTGGTTTCTCTTCATCCTCAGAATCTTCCAGCACTGCTTCCTCAGCCGCCCCTTTCTTGAGCCCTGCGCTGATGAAGTTGACGGGCGCAGAGTAGTCGCGGGCCCTGCAGGCACAGACGCAAGCCCTGGTCAGTAAAGAACTCTTCTGCAGCCAGCCCTGCCTGGAACTGGGCTCACAAGGAAGTCCTCAGAGCAGACTCGAGGGATCCATTTTAAAAGAGTAACACAATTATTTGGGCTGAGGCTGAGGCTCAGTGGCAGAGCACTTGCCTAGCATGTGTGAGGCACTGGGTTCCATCCTCAGCACCACTGACAACCGAAAAATTATTTAAAAAGAAAAAAAAGAGTAACATATTTATTTGTATGTCAGTATATCAAAAGGACCCCAGGCCAGGCTTTATGTGATCACATTTAACTTTCACCTGGGATGCTCAGTTCAAATTTACGGCTGAAGATACATCAATATCAATATTGAGGGGCTGGGGCTGTAGCTCAGCGGTGAAGCACTTGCCTTGCATATGTGAGGCACTGGGTTTGATCCTCAGCACCACATAAAAATAAATAAAGATACTGTGTGTTCATCTACAACTAAATAAATATTTTTAAAAATATATCAATATTGAGTTGATTATAAATTCAAGATAAAACCTGATGATCCAATTTTCCTTTTACATTTTTTTAAATCTAATCTACCTTAAAAGTATTTGTTGTAAACATTATTTCAAGTCCAACAATAAAATAGGAGTAGAAATTCAAATAGATAAAAATCATACTCAAGGGCTGGGGATCTAGCTCAGTTGGCAGAGTGCTCTTGCCTTGCATGCATAAGGCCCTGGGCTCTATCCCCAGCACCAAAAAAAACCACACACAAAACAAAACACATACACAAGTAAAATTCATTAAAAGATTATATGAATGTGAAGTATGTTAATAAATATATTAATTGAACTTAGAAGCTCATATCCACTAAATTCATTTAAATATGAGAACTAAACTAAAACACCTAGGAAATTAACCTTGTGAAATATACTATTTAAACTGTGACTGCTTCAAGACCAACACTTACGGTAAGTCACTAACCCAGCTCCTTTTGTGTGAAACAACCCTATGGTTAGAGGAACACAGAAAAGATGTCCTGGAATATTGCCAAGTAGAGTGATGCTTTATGAAAGGACTGGGCTAGGCATTAAACACCCCACAGGAGCCACAGAACTCAGGGAAATATTTCCTAAAAGATGCCCAAACTCCAGAACCACGGAGCTCCAGGTTTGGTTTCCAGGTTGGTTTCTGCCTCGCTGTATGACTCTGAATCTTAATTTCTTCACCAACAACGAGGAGGATAGTAATGGCCCCTTTGTCCTAAGGGAAAGGAGCCCAGGTTGTGAAGTCCGCAGGACGAGTGGCCAGTATCTGTGGGCTACTCCTATCAGCCCTTGACCATGCAAGTCTTGACCTCTGACCTACATATCATATGATTTTACACCTGCTTGACCTCTGACCTACATATCATATGATTTTACACCTGGTGAGAGGAGGCTGAATGGACCCCTAGGTTCTTTGACCCCTATTCTTTCTGGGAAAAAGACACCCCCTCAGGGGCCCAGCCTCAGGAGTCCACAGCCTGGAGGCACACATGGGTAAGTGAGTTGAGGCCAGCATAAGCAAGACTCCCACCCCAGGGAGAGGACCTCTGGCCTACATTCTCACCTCCTGGCCACCACCCTAGCCTACCCCCACCACACTTCTGCTGGGACCACAGCCTTGGCCTCCTCAAAGAGCTCTCTGCCATCACTGGGGCTCCCTGCCTCCTTCGCACACCTGTGACAGGGCTCTCCCCTTCCCCTACAATCCCGTCTCAAGTTCCCCCACCCTCCTCTCCAGCCTACAGATCTTCAGTGCCCTTGTGGCCACCTCGGGCCTCCAAACAAGGTCCTCTGTACACTCACCCTGTCCCACCACCTTAGCCCCCTTCCATTTTCCTATCAGTTAAGGGTCACTTCTCCAGGAAACTCTTCCCTCACCTCCCAGAATAACCCTCTGGGGCATTCTTGCTTCCTTCCTGTCCTAAATCACAGTTACAGAGTTGTAGATTAAAATCTGCTGTTACCCACTAGAGTCTGAGCTCCAGGGAGACAGTGTAGAGCACAAGGCCAAGTATGCAGTAATTGTTCAGTGACCACGTGCTAATGGCTACATAAGTGAAGGACAGACTGGGAGGACCTGCTCTTCCCGCTGACGCAGCCAGGGGACTCCATAAGACCAGGAGAAACACTACCGGGGAGCGGCCCCCCACTCCCATCCTCCCCACTTCCTAAGGCAAGGGGGAGGGCCCATGCAGCCAGTACCGTTTTCCTCCAAAACTGGGCCTCTCCTCATCCGAGTCACGCTCGGCCCACACCCCATAGGTGGCCTCCTCCTTGGTCTGCCAGTGGCGCTGCCGGTGGGGGTTGAACTCATTCTGGAGGTCCCAGTCGGTGATCTCAAAGTTCTCTCGCTCATCGTCATCATCGTCCATGTGGCCTTCCCCGTCCCGGTACAAGTGGGACAGAGACATAGCCAGTTGCTAGGGAAGGGACAAACAGGACACAGCATGTGATGAGTCCTGGAGGCAGCAGCTTGAGGATTTCCTGGGAGTTTCTACTCCTAGCTGCCCTGAACACTTCATCCAAATTCAAAGTTCACCAAAATATTCACAAAACAGATACTATTTCAGAAAAAAAACAATCAGTACTAAGTGATGAGATCTGTAGCTGTGATGAGATCTGGCTCTTTCTAAAACTGAGATTGATAACTGCACCAACATTAAAGAATGCTTGCAAAGACGATTCAATGAGGCATTTAAAAGTCACTGAACACCTGGCATGGTGTCGCATGCCTTTAATCACAGCAAGATGGGAGGCTGAGGCAGGAGGATCACGAGTGTAAGGCCAGCCTCAGCAACTCAG